GAGAAGGGTGGAAGATTGTACATGCAGGACTAAGAGGCAGCTCAATATTTCTGTACCCAAATGGAAAGAAGGGGACAGCTACACCGATGAGACAGATCAGAAAGGGAAAATGATGATAAAGACAATGTCCAAAAAAGGTGAACTATGGAACTATCACTCCCAATTTTGGAAGCCAGGGATAGATGCATTAATTGACTGGGTTTAGTAGGTACTAATGGCTTGAATTTGTTATAAACTAGTTGACTGTGCTTTGAAAATAGAGCAAGAAATAGAAAGAGGGTGTGTGTGGGGGGGGGGTATTAGTATTAGTCATTCACAGGATGACTATTAGCCCCCCTGTGTTGATCAGGCTGTGAAAAAAGGAAAATGAAATACTAAGATACACTGTGCAGGGAAGATGGGGGGGAAATTTCATTGCATAAAACACTGGTCAAATCTCCTCTGGGACATAATGGACAGTAGTAATTGGCCGTATTGAAGAAAAGTGAGCACAGACTGGATCAAGTGCTAAATAAATAAATAAATAAATAGAGAAGTGGGAATTCCATCTTGTAGGAAGAAACTAAGAGTTTTCTTTGTCTGATCTAGAACAGCGGTTTTCAAATTGGAGGATGCGGTGCTTTGCCAAGAGGGTATGCACTTATATTTTGACAACAGCAGAACTGATGGCAGTAATGTTTCACCAGGGGTTGACCAATCGAAATCTGAAGGTGGAGTTTCTGATTGGTCAGCACTCCGTGAATAACAGCATTGCTGCAAATTCGTATCACTCTCAATACCATTTCTAAGAAATGAACATTTAGAGGTGCATTGGGTAGGGGGTATAAGCAGCAATATTTTGAATGTAAATGGGTACCAAAACGTTTGAAAACCCCTGGTCTGGAACAATGAAGGATGAGAAGTGGTAGGATGAATCTGTATAAATAATTTAGGGGGAACACCATGGAGAGGGAATGGACAGAGGCTAGCTTACAGTCTGGAAATGAGAAAAAGGTTGTTTCTAACCATCAGAGCAGTGATCCTGGAGAAGCTTCCCACCAGTGCAAATTTTCCACCTAGTTTTAAGAGGGAGCTTGGGGAGTATATGAAAGGGATAATGCATCTTGTTTGCCTGAAAAAGCAGGGGCTGGGCTTGATTCTCCAGGAGCACCCTTCCAGCCCTACATGATCAAGACAAGTTGATTCAGAGCAGGGAAAATAGAAGGATTCAGGAATAGATGGACCCAGACACCCAGTCTAGCAAAGCAGTGTGGAGAGGCATCTCAGTAAGCCAGTAGGATCTGATACAAGGTGAAAGAGAGATGGGGATACAAGGACATATGATCTAATAGCAGAGAGGTTGGGTGGGTAGGTGGTTGGATACAGATGTTACCATACCATTAACCTACCTTTCCTCACAGACTGCATGCTCTCCCTAGCAACCCAACTGTGACCATGAAGAGCCCCCCTTCCTGCCACAGGCTCAAATCAAATGGCAAGATCACACTGGTCTGCTCTACCAGTGGCTATTATCCCCAGGAACTGCAGCTCACCTGGCTGGAAGTTGGGAAGGAGAAAAGAGGCAACCAGTTGACATCTTTCCAGGAGAAGAGTGGGAGGTTCAGCATCTCCAGAAACCTAACTGTGCCTTGTGGGATCTGGGAACAGCTTGGGGAGTACATCAGCAATGTGGCCCATCCTGGGACCAGCAGCAACCTGATTCACAAGATCAGCAAGTGAACAAGTGAGCAAGCCCTATTCCTTCCCCTCCCTGACCCTACCGATGCCTGCTCCCTTCATCCTCTTCCCATCCCATATATTCTTATCCAGTTGCCTGTGATTCCCTCCTTGTACCTTTATCCACTTTTCCCCCCACCCCTCTCCTATGTCATTCCCCATCAAGAGCAAACCACCTTTTCCCCCTCTGCAACTCTCCTCCTTGTCCCTCTACAACACGGACCCTCTGCTCTCTTCCCTTCTGCCAACCCCTTATTGT